CGATTGATGCGCCGGATTTTCATTTTCGTTTGCAAAAAAAAATGCGTGCATGGGGAGAAGCGCAAGAAAATCGTCCCCTGCAGGTGCATTACACAGCCCCAACAGTTTGGGCTTGGCGGGTGGGGCGTGCGAGAAAAATTGCTCGGTTTTTAGACTACCTTCTGGCGCTCTTTCCTTTTGAACCGCCTTACTTTGAAAAAGAAGGCCTAGCAACCACTTTTGTTGGACATCCCATTGTTACAAAGGGCATAGAAGATAGCGATGCAATGGCTTTTCGGGAAAAATATGGTTTGGCAAACGACCAAACACTCCTTTGTCTTTTGCCAGGTAGTCGCCAGGGAGAAATTTCTCGGCTTTTTCCTGTTTTCCAGGTTGTGGTAGAGCGTCTTCAGCAAGATATACCTGACTTGAAAGTTGTTATTCCAGTTGCTCCAGGATGTCAAGAAACGATACAGTCTCTCTTAGGAGAAGCCGCTTGGAGTCCTGTTTTTGTTGAAACAGAAATGGAAAAATATCAAGCGATGTGTGCGTCTCATGCGGCTTTAGCCGCTTCTGGAACGGTTGCACTAGAACTTGGGATGGCGACATGTCCTACGGTGATTGCTTATAAAATGGCGCCTGCCACAGCGTGGATTGGTCGTAAACTGGTTAAAACACCTTATGTGAGTTTAATTAACATTCTAAGCCAGAGTTTAGTCATGCCAGAACTGTTACAAGAAGCTTGCAGCGTAGAAAACATTGTACACCATCTAAAGCCTCTTTTGAGTGCAACGCCTGAAAGAGAGAAACAAGTTTTGGATCTCCAAAAGGCGCGTCAAAGTTTGTCGGCATCAGTTTCTAAAAAACCGAGCACTTATGCAGCGCGGTCTGTATTAAAAGTGCTAGAAGCTTGTTGATCTTCTGTGATGATCGTCTTTCTTTGCTTTCTATCATAAGCTAGAAGCAAAACAGAGAGGACAATCAGACCAGAGCCGAGCCAAAAGCCAAGGCTGAGATGCTCTTCAAAGATCCACCATCCAATGGCTGTGCCTGTGACGAGACGTACAAAGCTAAAAGGCGTTAAAAAGTTGATATGTGCATTGACGTAGGCTTGAGCGGTCATCCAATGGGATGAAGCGGCCAATATCCCCATTCCAAATAAGAAGGGAATATGTTGCAGAGCAAGAGGACGCCAATTA